CTTACCGTAAACCTAGGTATGTCGGCGTATGGCACATTGCCTATGCGATATGGACGTGGCCGGGGGGGGGTTGGGTGGGAATGTAAGGTCGCGCCAACTGCGACAGCGCGTTCCTTGGCGTCAGGGTTTTAGCCCAGGGTTTGGGGTGACTACCCTCTTAACCAGGTGTTAGAGTAAACAGCCATCGTTATGTAACCCAGCCGTTAGGGTTTCAGTGCAGTGCTCAACGCTCATGCATCAGCAGCAGCAGAGACGGTTGGACAGACCAGCGGGGCTATATAAAGCAGGTCGGCTGCAGCCGCTCAAATGTTCGTATGAGCCTTTGGCTGCTTCTGCCAGCTCTCTGAGGACGAGGGCCCGCAGAAATGGCGCAGAAGTTTGCGTCCACCCTCTTCAGGGCTGCTCGCCTTGCACCGGCAGCGGTATGGCGGCCGGAGCCTGCACTCCCTTTGTGCGGGGTGAGCTACGAGGCTCGGTTTTGCGGACTTTCTTTCTGCTCGTCCCATGATTAATTGGCTTGTTTTAGAGCCAAGCACCCTTTTTAACGAAATGTAGTTTTGTTCTTTGACTACAGATGACATCCTCATTTGATGTTGAGTTCCGTGTGACAAGAGCCATTGTTCGAATCGAGATAATCAAGCAGAGTTTTGAAGTGGCAGCTGGACATTTGTGGACATGCAAGACTCCGACTTGTTCTTATGCAATTATGAGACAGTTGCAACTCTTGTCTGGCCAGCCTCTACTAATGTTATTTTTTAAGTCTGCGGTGAGACATAGAATTGGACATACCGTGCACTCAGGTCTCAACTGGTCCTGTTTTAAACAAAGTTCTGCTGTCGACCTGATAGCTTCGGGGTTTCAGGTAAATGACTTGCGTGCTGATTTCTCCTCAAGAGTTGCCAAATCCGTGGGTTCAGCAAGTCTCCTTCTCACCCGAAAACTCTGATGTCTGAGGACAGGTGTTCCACATTGAGAGCAGCTTTGTCGCCCTCCGCATGGTACGGACCTATGGCACAAGGGCCGACGCAGTGCCTGCGATGAGTGCAGCAACCGCACACCATGAAGCCGTAGGTTGCTACCCCTTCTTGCTCGCTCGTCTCTTCTTTTGCGAAGTTAATCCTAACTGCAAGTGTAGGGCCTACAGCCAATTCAGCCAGCATAAGATTCTTTTCATGTATATTTGAAGAGAATTACGTGTCTGTGCGTAGTGGAAGCTGTCACCAACTCTGCATTGGCCTTCTTCCTCACTAGACATGCTACATGATGAGGTCTTCCCAGCATCCATACTCTGGGCGCCTTGCTAGTTGCAGATTCCTGAAGACCTCAGTCGTGCGGTTGCTGATGGAGTCCTGAATTGTCCTGATTGCAGCCTGGCGTGAAGCTGCTCATTGGCGGCAAGTTCCACGACTCTCAAGCCAAGGAGTGGATTGATGTCACAAATCCCGTGAGTTACAGCAACTGCAAAATCTGCAGCTTCTCGTGAGCTGCCCTCAATTGCTCTCATGAGACCGAGAAGCTGCTCATTGGCGGCAAGTTCCAGATTCTCAAGCATTGGGGCGAATCGATGTCACAAACCCCGTGAGTTACAGCAATTCAAGTATCTGCCGCGAGCAGCCTTCGATTGCTCTCATGAGACTGAAATGCTACGTAAAAGAGTATTTCTGTGCAAGCTTTGTCATTGTGACAATGCTTCTGTTCGGGCGCTTGTTGGCTTGGAGAAGACGAGTAGGCTTGCAAGGAGAATGTGTTTCTCCATTCCATCAAGAGGATCCCTAGATCGTGTTGGCAGATGGCTACCACTCCTGTTAGGCTTGTGTGCATCTTTCTTGATTCTTTGAGATCTTCGTACATGCAGGCTACCCAAGAGGTCATCTCCCGCGTGCCTCACACCACAAAGGGGGAGTTTGACGCGGCTGTGGCCGCCGCAAAAGCTGCCTTTCCAGCTTGGAGAGACACTCCCGTGACGGTGCGGGCGCGGGTCATGTTCAACTTTCAAAAGCTCATCCGGGACAACATGGTGAGTATACCTTTGGACGCATTGATCTCTTCATTATGCATTGCTAAAGTTGATTTCATGCGCTAGTTTGGCTCCAGCTTTTCGGCTCGACTTTTTTTCCCTCTGTTTTCAAAGCACCTTTGGGACGTTCAATGTTCAGAGGCGAACATGAGTAGTGGTGTGAAATCAATGATCTCGACTTTGCAGTATGAAGTATGATGTTTTTTTCATCGGGCGTTTGACAGAGATTGGATAGATAGTGCGAACGGTTTTGTTTCGCATGGACAGTCTGAATGGTCCGTCAATTCTTTTTGCAGGAAATGTTGGCAGAGAACGTGACGTTGGAGCAGGGGAAGACGATACCGGACGCCAAGGGCGACGTTTTTCGAGGCCTAGGTAAGCTCTACTCTAGGGGAGGGGGTTTTGATATCGTTTCCTTCGCATCAACGTTGTTCTCGGTTCATCTGGTTGGTGTCCAACACAGCGAACTCTTAGAAGTCTTGGTTAGAGTGTCCAAAAATAACGAAAGAGAAACAAGACAAAAGAATCCCTTCTCGACATCGGTCGTTGAGTACGCTTGCGCCTCCCGGGCGCTGGGTTACGAGTGTCCCCAAAGAATGAAAGGAAATCAAACAAAAGACTCCCTTAACTATGGACGTTGTCAAGCGCGTAAGCTTCCCGAGCGCTCGCATATAAATGTCCCCAAAAAACGAGCAGAACAAGATAGTCTCCACTCAACAGAGGTGGTCGAATACGCGTGCGGCCTCCCGAGCGCGCTGTCGGGCGAGATCGTGGAGAACGTGAGCGCGGGCATGGACACGTACAGCATCCGGCAGCCGCTCGGCGTGGTCGCCGGCATCTGCCCCTTCAACTTCCCGGCCATGGTGCCCCTCTGGATGTTCCCGCTCGCCGTCACCGCCGGCAACACCTTCATCCTCAAGCCGTCCGAAAAGGACCCCGGTAAGTTGGTTGGCCCCTGGGTTCGTGGCCTGGTTAAGTTGCTGGACGGGGTTGTCGAGCTGTGTATGTTGGTTGAACTGGTGGTTTGCAATGGCTTTGAGAGCTCGCGACTGGTGCCTGAACCAGACTAGAAGAACTGGTCCAATCGTGTCTCGTTGGTAGCCTACGATGCTTTAGTAAGATCCGTCCTATACGTTGACAGCTTTGAGCCACTTTCCATTTTCTCTTGTGCTTGTGATACTCGCCGAGATGCTGATTAACATCAAAGATCCATTGAAGACCCCAAAACCCGCACCGTTTGTTTCTCATACGCACCCAATCACATTCGCGCCACGTACTTGGGTCTTTCAGAAAGCTGGGCGATCCGACTGTTTAAACTGGGCGTTCTGTTCTGCGGAACGCCGGACGTCCAAGGTTAGCGGCAGGGGTTCTCACGCAAATTTGAGTGTGAATCGCGGAACGTCAAGTGCCGGGTTTCGTGCCGGTAACCAGCGCAGCGACGGCCGAAGTCCTGGCTCAGGTTCAACTTCCTCGGATCAGTCGCCGTGACATGACGTCAGTGCTGACACTTGGGAACGCCCACTTTAACATTAAGCTCGCTTTTGTCAGGTGCCGCCATGCTATTGGCCGACCTGGCGCAGCAGGCGGGCCTCCCCCCCGGCGTGCTCAACATCGTGCACGGCGCCCAGGACGTTGTCAATATGATATGCGACGACAAGGACGTGCGCGCCATCTCATTTGTGGGCTCCGATAGGGTATGGTTTCATTCTCGAAAGGCTTCGATTTGGACTCCCATCGAGTGTCTTCTGCAATGCAAGCCCTTGAATGTGAAGCCCTTAAGCCGGTGCATATTAATAGGACCGCTCGGTCGAAGATCTTCTGCAATCCTCCAGAAGAGTGTGAGTCACGCAAGGGGTTGAAACGGAGCTTTCCCTGCTGGCGGTTTGCTTAAGGCGACTCCAGCCCCAAACCCCAAATCCGTAGACGTACTTACTGGTCGTTCAATGAACGCGAAAGGGTTGTTGGCGAAGCTGCGTTTTCTCCCTCTTCACCCGCACTCCCTCTCCGCAGGCCGGCAAGCACATCTACTCGCGCGGGTGCGCCAACGGGAAGCGCGTCCAGAGCAACATGGGCGCCAAGAACCACGCCGTCGTGCTGCCGGACGCGGACCCGGACCGCGCGATGAACGCGCTGGTCGGCGCCGCTTTTGGGGCCGCGGGGCAGCGGTGCATGGCCATCAGCTCCGCGGTCTTCGTTGGCGGATCGGAACAATGGTGAGAATGAGGGTGCGCCCTTCTGTCGGTGGTTCACGTTTTAGGCAACTGGGGGCCGTAGGTCAGCCGAAACGTGGTCTCGCGGGTTTGGTCGAAGGTTTTAACAGTGCAGTCAGCAGATTGATTCGAAAGTTACGCACACTTTGGTTTCTTCCGTTCCCGAGCAATTAGCCGTCGGCTGAACAAGTTTGGAATCTGTTTATCAGTGGTTGGAGACCAAAGGAACTTTGTTTGCTGTTACATATGCACCTGGAAGCTCAGTCTGTGGACTCTGTGCACTTCAGGAGTCTGCAGAGCATCATTCTGGCCGGCTTTGCACCATTCAGTTGGTCACGTCTGAGCCGTTATTCCTTTCTTCAGAATTTTCATGATGTTCGTTCGCCTTTCTTCCTGCCGCACTAGCTCCACTCATATGAGCATTGAAAATCAGAGGGCATCGAGGAAGCTCGCAAGAAGCCTGGTGCGCACGGTCAGCCTGAAGTGGGAAAGGCCCTGAAGCAGGAGAGCTTCTGAACCCTTCCACACCTCAGCATCGCGATTTGTCCACGTAGTTTTGCAGGGAGTTGGATCTGGTAGAGCGCATGAAGAAGCTCAGCGCCAACGCTGGCAGAAAACCTGGGGTTGACGTCAGTCCAAAAGTGAGGAAGCGTTCGAGCGTGTCCAATTTTCGATGTCCCATTCCGTGTCGTTTGTATCAAATGCAGGGAGTCGGGTCTAGCCGAACGTGCAAAGAAGCTCAAAGTGAACGCTGGCAAGGAGCCCGGGGCTGACGTGGGCCCGCTAATCAGCCCTGAAGCCAAGGAACGTGCCGAGCGGTTAATTTCCGAAGGGGTGAACCAGGGTGCCCGGTTGGTGCTGGACGGGAGGGGGGTGAAGGTCCCCGGGTACGAGGAGGGCAACTTCCTAGGGCCTACCATCCTGGCTGACGTCACGCCCGACATGGAGTGCTACCGGGAGGAGATCTTCGGGCCCGTGCTGCTGTGCCTCAAGGTGGGGAGCGGATCCCCGGGCAGAATTTGACTGCTGACGTCATGCCCTGCTTCTTACAACGGCCCGATCAAGATTGTTGATCGCTGCACAAATTGAAAGAAAGAGGGAACTGATTGCGGAAGTAGGGCGCATGGGCTCGTGGGAAGCCGAGTGTCATTAGTCTGGGTTTGGAATTGACGCTCGCTTTTCGTCTTCGCAGGCGGAGAGCCTGGATGACGCCATCCAGACGGTCAACAATAACCCGTGAGACTTGCACCCTGTCGGTTCTTAGATCTGGAAGAAAGTCTGGAAAAAATGCCTCTACACGAGCGAAGTGACGAGCTTTTTTTGCATCTCATCCGGTCGCCCTTGCCGCACTCACTGCTGAAGGAAACGTCTCAGTCCGCTTTGAATGTTTGGCCTTAAGTCGACGTGTATGCTTAGGAGCATCTCTGCTCAGGGCCGCTTTCTCGCTTTTCGCTTTGCTTCAGGTAGATTGGTTTGTCCAACTGTATGGTGCGGATGTCGAACAGCACACAGCTTCTAGCAGCTCTTGAATCAAGGACTGTTGCGCTTGGGTATGTGACGTTATCGCTGACGTAACCGTCTTGGTGTTAGGTACGGCAACGGTACCGCTATTTTCACTCGGTCAGGGGCCGCTGCCAGGAAGTTCCAGCACGAAATTGACGTAGGCCAGGTGAGCGACGAAGAGATTTGGAGATTATACGTGCTTGAGAGAACCTTTTACCCGTCGTTATCTTCCAAGTAGCCAGCTGTCTGTATCTCCTACAGGGGTATTTTTTAAATTTTACACCCATTAGCTCGGCCGCTTCTGTCAGCCCGCATGCCAAGACAAGGACTATGACAACCCTGTAGAGAACGTCTTGCTCAAGTTTCGAGCTGTTTTTGTTGTGACGGCTAAAGGTGAACGTGTGCCAGACGGCGAAAGCACCATTTCTTAACCGCTTTTGCGTCGTGAGTTGACCATTTCTTTACAAATGTGCCATAATTATCTCTAGAAACAGGCGAAGACATGGTCAGAAAGTGCCGACCTGTGCCGTTTCTCTAGGTCGGCATCAACGTGCCCATCCCGGTTCCGCTTCCGTTCTTCTCGTTCACGGGATGGAGGGGATCCTTCCAAGGCGATCTCAACTTTTACGGTGAGGTCGCGTCGCAGTCTGCATACCTCCGCCGTTGTCGGAAAGCGCTTCATTATCTGCTGATGACCGTAAAGCCATTAGGTATCGTTGGATTTGTATGATGCGCTCATGAAGGCCGATATACGATTGGTGGCTGATTGGTTCTTGCTTGGTTACGGCGAATGAGTACCTGAGGAAAAGCACGCAAGTGCCCCGGTGGTCTTGCAGATCTTTGACGAGCGATTTCGTCCGATTTAGTAGCCTGTATCGTGGTTTTCGAAGCAGCTGTTCGCCCTTGTTGAGAAACGTCAGTTGCTCGGTCCCCCTTTTGAGCCCACCTTTTTTGTTGCAGGCAAAGCGGGGGTCCAGTTCTACACTCAAACGAAGACTATCACATCATCCTGGAAGGACGATGACGTATCCACTGTTCAGACAAGCTTCCCCAACGCGGGCAAGCAATAGCTTCGCATTCTCCAGCTCTGGAAAAAGCAACGTTAGATTTGAATAGCGAGGTAGCCAAGCGAAACGGCAGCTTTCCGAAGCAGCGCCGGTTGAAACGTTGCGCTGTGAGCTTTTAGCGTTTCAAGTTTCGCACTACGTTGGGAAAGTGTCCTTGTACACTCCAGAATCTTGCATACCTTGTACATAGCAAAGACGCTGGCAGCTTGTGTTGCTAATTGATAGATGCCTTTAACGAGGCACTTGCTACGCCCGTATTTTACTGAAGCCTGGCAGCCATTGCAGAAACTGCATCCACATTTCCGAGGCATTCAGTCTAGCTTGAATGCGGCGCAAGTGCTGGTCGGCTGTGTTCTTCAAGCTTGCACCGTTGATCACAATCAATTCACCAACTTTGGATCAAGAACGATACGCCAGGCTCATGAGACCTGAGCTTGATGACATTCATGTCGAGCGCAAGATAACTAGCTAGCGATCACGCCACCCCACGAAGCATGCAAGCAACCTGTTTGTGATTTCAGGCAATCGACCGCAAACCTACTGCACCTGAGTCATTAAGTTGCCCTGCATGAAGCTTTCAACTCGCGTTTCGCGCCCCAGAGGTCTCCAGCGTCGCATCATGCACAAACTTGAAACCAAAGCCTGCGCACGTGCAGGCCACACCGACATGATAAATAGACATGCAAGCTTTTCATTGCATCGAAACCACTTCACGTAAGAATTATATTAATCGTGCCATGATTCAGTGTAAAGGACCAAGGTGACGGTTATAAATTCCCATCCGCGGTTGCTCCATAATTAGGAATTGATAGCTAGCTGCTACTGCACCAAATTAAGACGACATCCTACCAGGAGGTGAGAGCCAAACCGGGAGCCGATCAATTTTAACCAGCCATGTTCGCTACAGTGTGTTGGTGACGCGCTGTGATCCTGTGATCCTCTGATACTTGACGATCTGTCCGCTACATGTTGAAATGCAGTACAATCAGTTTACCATCTACAGTAGCATGGCGACCAAAGACCAGTTACCTAAAGCTTAACATACTCAGAACTATTCTGGCTGCTACAGGACTTACGCCTGGTGATATTAAGCAATAGCGACAAACGACTTGCTGTTTCAACGAATGTAGTCCTAACGCAGTCGGGATTTCCTAAATGTAACGCCCTCTTTATCAACTCCGATGCTCGTTGTACTCGGTTAGATGACGCATGCGAAGGAGTGAATTGTTCGAGATGCTCCAATGACCTCCGAAAGTTCCCGGTACGACGAATTCCATTCGTCAAGCCAAATCATTCTTCGCCTTGCGTTCCGCCCTCGTCTCGTGGGACTCATATTCTCTCCCACTTGCCTCTCAGAAATCTTCTCTGCGCACGGGTTATCGCTTCTCCCCGTTTTCTCGCTATCCCCCGCTCTCGAAAGCCCGTGCACTAATATTAGGTCTCCTTATAGAAACGAACACTCCCCCGCCCTTTTTAAAAAGCTTTTCTCGGTGTCACAAGCCCACTTTACCCGCCTTTATTCATCCTTTGCCTCTTTGCTGTCCTGCAGCCTCGCCGCATACGCCGCCTCCCACCACGCCCTCCCCGACCGGCGCCGCCTCGGGCCGCTTTCTTCCCCTCCCCCCTCTCCTGCTTCTCCCTCCACTCTAGTTCCCCCTGTCTCCTCGCCAACCGACGCCGTTCCTCCAGTTGCCCCAGCTCCCCCGGTTCCGCCAATCGCCCCAGGGTTACCAGTTTCCTCGGTTTCTCTGCTTTCCCCCATCTCCCCGCCTTCAATTCTACGGGGCCTTGTCTGAGACGCCCCTCCCGCGTTTGTCAGGTGCCTCCCGAGCTCCAGCGCAGTTACGAGGCCCAGCTCCGACTCTTCTTCCGACTCCGGTCTAGTCGCGGCCGCGCGCCGGCGGCTGCGGCGGCTCGAGCCGCGCGACGACCGCTCGTCTACCCGGGGGTTTATTGCCAGAGCCCGCCCGCCTTCTTCGACTTCCTCTGAAAAAGGGTTTGCGCGTTGAAACCCGGTTCTCAAAGCTCCGCTAACCCCGCTAACCCGGCTAACCCCCGTCCCCAATCCAGGGTTCCCGTGTGGTCGACCGGTGATAGCGCCAAGCCAGGGTGATCGACTGGCCCCCGGTTCTGCCAACCCGGCAACCCCAAAACCTCCCGTTTCGTAGTGGTGTGGATTTCCGCCAACGACGTCCCAGGCGCTCCCAAGCCCCCCAAACCTCGACGAAGTCTCGAGAGTCCGCCTCCTTTGCGCCGACTCAAAGCGCGGCTCGGCAATGATGCGCATCGGCCCGCGCGCGTCGCCGCTGTCGGAGAGAGGCCGCTTGACGCCCCTAGAAACCTCCAAACCCTCTGTCAAGGTAGGGACAGGAATGAGCCCCACAGACTGGCTCCGTGTGTGCGCGCGCATCTGCAAACCCTCAGTCAATGTGGGGACAGGCCCCACGGACTGGCTCCGCGTCTGCGCGGGCGCCGCTGAAACGCCTTGCGCCAAGCCGCCTCCCAATCCGCGCGGCCGCGACGTGTTCACGCTCGCGGTGCTCGCGCGCGCCGCGCCGCGGCGCCCCTCCCCCTCTTCCACCGAGGAGCTGCTGTTCTCGACGCTCCTGGAAGGTTCTTCTCCCGCTTCTAGTTCTGGTTCCCACAGTTGCTGGAGTTCGTCCATGCTGGGAATGCGCTGGCCGAAGCGCAGGGTCTGGGGAGGGTCTTGCATGTCGTAGGGGCGGTCCAGGACCGGGCCGTCATAGCGAGGGTCCATGTAGCGAACCAGGTCCTCGATGCTGTCTGGCCATTGGTCGGGGAAGACGGGGGTGCCGGAGCGTGCCCGCGCGTTCGGCGGCCCGTCTCCCCTCATCGTTTTGGCTTTCGGGAGATGGTGAAGGTGCTACAATGGAGCCACGTAGAGCGGTCCTGATCGACCTGGACGAATGAGAAGGATAAAGTCTGAATCGCACATCGAATGAGAAGAAAAGCAGGTGAAATGGTTATTGAATTTAAAAACGGTCGAGAAAGAGTAGGAAGCTGATGCCAGTCTAGCTGCCCCTTGCTGGTTGGAAAAAGAGGTGACAACGGTTCTCCTGCGAAAAAGAGTGTATATGGACGAGACTGACTTCTAACAAAGCCACTTTCATTAGCAGTAAATTCGTCTGAAAGGCCGATAAATGTGGTCAGCTTACATTCTTCGTCAATGAAAGGTTTGTGGAGGCAGCAGATTTAGACCCCTCGTCCTTAACAATCAAACGGAAGCAGATTCAACGCAGGCTTGCAAGTCATAACTTCGAAATCAAGCAGGGCTGAGTACATTATCGAACATCTTGCATTTCGAAGGGACGCACATCTAAGAAGCGCAGATTAGTGATCGTCCTCACCTTTGTTTTGCCTCAGAATAGGAGAGGTTCTCGAACCGCCTTAGCGACCGTTCCTTCGCAGCATTGAAGTTCTAAAAGATCCTTCTTATCTGCGAAATCCTGAAGAAAGCCAGAGGATAAAGTTTGTTTCCTGCGGATTCTGCTGGCCGCTGGCAGGATGTCGCCGGTGCAAACGTGATCCTGACATTTGCTGTTCGCTTATACAGCAGCATAAGGATTACCTACATGCAGCTTGCTTCGTAGATGTAATGTGGAGCTGTTCGTCCAACTTGGTGGTAGCCACAGGATGAGGGCATCTCTCAAAAAGGGCATTCCGGGAAGAACAGCCCTGTCTGTGGACGCAGGATTCTGTTCTGCTGGTTCGTCTCGGCAGATTTTCCTACCGTTTCCAAGCCAAGGTTGCTCCTTGAGCAATTTGGATTAAGATTGTATAAAGATGCAAAACTTGATTTGGGTGCTCCCCCAAGAACGATTGAACCTGGGGGGGCATCGAAGTAAGGTACGGCTGAGTTCCCGTAGACACTCTCTTATGAGCCGCTCACATTACAAGGATAATCTCAGCAGCTTCAAAAAGGTGTTCTTGAGTTCAAAATTAGCATCGGACGGCTGTGGCGCTTCTTCATGATTGTCTGCAGCAGCGCGTCTTACTTCACCAACCTCCTCGGAAACCATCGAACTCTCAAACTCTTCTTCAGCTTCTGATCAATCTTTGCGGCCAGCTCATGAGAAAGTCTTTCCGACAAGGATGCCAAGGCTGGGATGATGTTGGATCAGCTTGTACCCAAGTCCAGCTACCAACAGAGAGCCGCTTCTGGTGATCAAGAACCTCTTTGAAAGCTAGATTTCAGAAGCAAATATACTCCATTTACCCAAGCCCCTAGAACTTTTGTCGAGAACCTGCTGGATCCTGAACGGAGACCATAAGGCCGAATGTAAGGAAACAGGTGCTTTCAAAATTCTGAATCAACACTGGAAACGAACTGCTGATATCAACAGAACGCCGATTTGAAACTTAGCTGCTAAGTTATACCTGAAGGAAGGCACCCTCTGAGCCTCTGGTTCCTTTAAACCCCAGCCGCCGCGCCTCAGCTTGGAAAGGGGCATGCAATCCAGTCTGGAGCACGCCAGCTAAGTTCCTAAGTACTGAGGCTTACTTAATCGATGCACCACATGCAACTGGCGACATTCGACACCATTTCCACCCAACTTCATGCAAGCAAAGACTTCAGTGAATCATCCAACGGAGCACTCTCGAGGCGCCACGTTGGTGCGTCTCGCGTCAGCAACCAGTTCGACAGTACCGACTGCCAGAGATTGTCATGCAGACTGTGACGGCGCAACCAGTGGATGACAATCTGTAAGCTGCAGCAAATCATGAAGGAAAGACACGGGTTGCTTCATTATCCACCTTCATCATCCTGCTTCCGCAAGGTCAATTAAGTTCTTCACTTAGTGATTGTATCCCGTTTATATTACGGGCACTTCAACGCAATTTCTGATGGACCGGTCAAGTGCATTTGTTGGGAATTGAGTCCCAACACAAACAGTCTCTTTCACTTCCGTAGCCCCAATCCAAGGATCACTTCAATGGCCACACCAACCTCGTTCCAAGTATGCCGTTATCCTACGACGAAATTTCTACCGATGCCTCCTCATCTTTTGGGTACGGCGCATTTTTAATGGGGGGTTATTTCTCCCTTTCCTTCGCCGCGGCTCGTAAAATTTTTCCGGATGCTCCCGATTCCTCCGAGCCAATTCATGTTCATGAGCTATTCGCCGTTCTAATATTGTGCCGATTATTTTCGGCTGCCCTAAGGGGCCTTTACGTACGATTGCATATCGATAACACTGTCGTGGTGGCCGTCATCAATAAAGGTACAGCAAAAGGGGCAACGGTTTGCCAAGTTTGCCAAGAATCGAACCCGAAAGCAGTTGCTCTGACCAAGTGATGAGAAGTCTGATAACATCTCAGCGAATCTTTTCTTTCGAGGCAAACTATGGCCAAGGTTAGCTAGGCCCCAATCAGCAGAGTACTGAAGTGTCGAAATTTGCTCCACATATCTAAGTATGTTAGAGCGTGCGCATTTGGCGCTCTCATATGCAGGCAAGCTTCACGAGCGGATCATTGCCGAATGATACTCCCAACTTTTGTCCAATAAGCACCTTATAACGAGCGTTCCCCGAGGCAATGCCTCGGCTTGACTTTATGACCAATGGATTCCTTGAAAGACGATATGTCGAGCTAGATTGCTCAAACCTGTTTGAGGCCAAGCAGCAACTACTTACTCTGTCAAAGATATGGAGGGGCTTTAGCATCCTGTGTCGACAATTCTTATGGCTTAGCAGCTAGACGCATATAAACGCGCGCGGGCTCCGCCCCACATCCTTTCGACGTGGTTTTCGGCTTTACTGTACTCTTCAGAACTCTGAAAACCCGACTCTGCTAGAAGCTCTTGTACCCGGACTGTTCCCTAGCCGGCTTGGGCTCCTACTGAACTCCTGATCTAGCCTGCTAGGGCTTCGGCTAGAGGCCCCGGGTAAAGAGCCGTCTAGACTGCTCTGGTCAGCCTGCGCCATGACCAAGTCTACTAGTATGCCGAGCTTCTTGCTAAGGCTGCGGTTCAACTCGTTCAACTGCATGAACAAAGACTGAAAGTCAGCTCCAACCGATGGAGTAAGCGCTTCAAGGTTTCGTTGAATCCTATCTTCAAAGTTGGCTTCGGATACACAAGGTCTTGGTTTGATTCAACTGTTCCGAGCTCAATCCGACGTGTTGAGACACATGTTACGAGACATTATACGGCGGCTTTTGTCAAAGTAAGCTGCTTCCCCGTTCATAAAAGCAAAAGCAAATGGAAGAGAGACACAACGCACTGACAAGTGTGTGGGATTTAGCCACTGCAAATACCACTTCGTTCTTACGCTGCCATGCAAGTTTAGCTGCGCGCGCGCACGGAAGCAACGAGGAGAAGTAAAAAGCGTACATCCGTAGATTTTCAGACCCCCTTTCTGGGACACTTGATGCAGGTAAGAGCAAACCCCAGCGCTTCGAACCTCTTTTACCTGTCCTTCGACTCTCTCCAGCCGTTGCTCTAAACCACTGATCGCCCGCAACTGCGCGTCTCCCAGCCCATCCGCCCCCGGCTTTTCTAAACCCTCAACCCCCGCCTTCGCAACCTCCGCCAGCGCCGCGGCCTGGCGCGCCCCGCGGCTTTTTCGCGCGTCGAGTTTCTCGAGCGGGGCCGCCGCTTGCACCTTCTCTATGTCGTCGTGGATCTCGGCCTCTCTCAGCGCTAGTTCCTTTAGAATCGAAGTCACCTCCGACTTGTCGAGCAGTCCGTTCCGATCGACGTCGTACTTGGCCAGAATCTCCTTCGGCCCGGTCGCCTGCACGTGAGATTGAGCATCTGCTCAGACGCGCATGGCGGACAAGTCGCCTCTACAGGAGTCCAGCTTCGAGCTTCGACTATCTCTTTCGGGGGTCCCCACTCACTCTACGGAAGACGTACACCAACCCAAACTGGATGCTGCAATTTTCAAACCCTTCAGATGTTGCTGTCAGTGCGCATTTGAATTCTAGGGCTAATAAGGTCAATATAAAAGAAGGCGTCTGCCACAAAATTCATGCCGCACCCGCTCGTGGACTACCGGATCACAGTAATTAACCCACTACACCAAACGCCGTTCTACGCTGACCAATGGCTGACGCCTCTATTGCGTCTGACGTCAGCCGGCCCACCTTAAGCAGCTCGTATGCGCGCGCGTTGTCCTTGAGCGCGGCCGCGAGCTCCGCCTCGTCGATCAGGCTGTCCAGGTTCGCGTCCGCGTCGCCGATGTCCGCGCGCGCGCGCGCGGCCGCCTGCCGCAGCCCGAAGAGTCCGAGCAGCCGGCCGGAGACCGACCTAACAGTGTGACGCAGGTCGGAAAAGAAGTGGTTGTCGTCCTGGGGCGCAAGAGAAACAAAGAGGATGCTGGGGATGATAGCAGGGACGAGCGTCGTCTATTCGTTCCTCGTCCAACAACCGTAAAGAACGCAAGGGCATGTCACTGGGCGATCAACTTCAAGCAATCATGAAGGAAAGACGGAAGTTGGCTAGTGAGATGCCTTTTGGCATCACTTAAGTCCAAGTCAAAACACTAAATTCAACTGAGCCAAACCATGCCTTCAGAACCCTTCAAAACATGATTGGCCGTCTGTGCGACGGCAAGGGCTTGCCTCTTCCTCAATTCCAACCGCTATCAACGGTTGTGAACAGCAATTGGCATCGAATGGCGAATTGTTTTTTAACGGTGCGGATGTCTTAGTCGTGAAACCAGCCAACCGAGCAAGTGCGAAATTTCGACGTCGTACCGCGTACATGCACGAAGGCCAACTTTGAGACTTGCACCATGTACCGTCTGGACCAAATTGTTCGATTCGTAAGGTGTAACTGCGCCGCACGCGGGA